AATTGTTTCGTTTAACTAACTCCTTCTTAAGATTTAGTGGCAACACATAGGATTGGTGGACAACAGAATCTAGTGCAACTCGAATAAGGTACATGCCTCTGATTTCTTCCAACATCCCAAGAATAGAACCTTTATTGTTGAAATTTGTGGGAATAAGGGAGAGAGTCTTGTATCACATGTAAAAAGTATAATATAAAGTGTTGTGTCTCTAATAAGGCTAATTTTATAAACAAGAAAGAATGCAATAAGGATCATGTATATAAGAGATTATACTTCATGAAAAGCTAGTTTATCGACTGAATAAGCTACTTAGAGTCACAAGAAAGAGAGAAATTTAACAGGAGGAGTCTCAAAGGAATAAAAAAATCAGGCAGAAGAAGTTTCTTCATTGGAACCTTTATAACATTTGCAACGAACTTCTATGTCACTATGAATATATGTGGTAAGAATTGATTATGTGAAGCATCTATCCACCCCATTCCAGCAAAACACCATCTTTCTAACCCATTAATACAATATTTTAGTTCGCTATAGCTTTGCTTAAACCTCCCTTCTTTTGCCTTACCTTTTGCCTAGGTGCCCTTTTTAGGTTTTCAACCTAGCAAGCATCTTTGTTTGATCTCTCTCTTTTTCTTCTTTTTTTTATTTTTTTTAACTTTTGCCTAGGTGTCCTTTTCTTGTTTTTAACCTAGCAGGCATCTTTGTTTGATCTCTCTCTTTTTTTTTACCTTAACTTTTGCCTAGGTTGCCTTTTCTGGTTTTCAACCTAGCAGGTACTTTAGCTTCAAGCAAAATATCTCTTCACAGCATCCGAATTTATAGGTTTTGACAATTCTTGGCCCTTCATATCTACCAAAATAAGGGCGCCTCCTGAAAAGGCTTGCTTCACAATATAAGGGCCTTCGTAGAAAGGAGCCCATTTACCTCGGCAATCTTCTTGACTCGGGAGGATTTTTTTCAAGACTAGGTCCCCTGGCTTAAATTCTCTTGGACGCAGCTTATTATTAAAAGCCTTTGCCATCCTCTTTTAGTATAATTGTCCATGACATATGGCTGCTAATCGCTTCTCTTCTATCATGTTCAATTGTTCAAATCGAGTTTTAATCCATTCATCTTCTTCTAACACGGATTCTATGACTACCCTTAATGAGGGTATCTCTACTTCAATTGGAGTCACAGCCTCCATGCCATATACCAATGAGTATGGTGTTACCCCAGTTGACACAGCATAGTTGTGCGATACCCATAAAGAGCATAGGGAAGCATCTCATGCCAATCCTTATATGTGATTGTCATCTTTCCAATGATCTTCTTAATATTTTTATTAGTTGCTCAACCGCCCCATTCATTTGAGGTGGATAAGCTGCCGAGTTATGGTGTTTAATCTTGAACTGTCCGTACAACTTCTGAACTTCTATCCCATTCAAATTAGGTGCATTATCTGTAATAATCTGTTCTGGTAGGCTGTATCTACAGATAATGTTCGTTTTCAAAAACCTAAGGAAAGCTTTCTGGGTAATGCTAGCAAAAGAAGCAGCCTCTATCCACTTTATGAAATAATTGATAGCTACAAGGATGAAACGGTGCCTATTTGAGGCCTTAGGATTGATTGGACCAATAACATCAAGTCCCCATAAAGAGAAAGGCCAGGGGGCCACAAGGTTATGAAGCGGTTGAGGTGGGGCATGTATTCGAGCAGCATAAATTTGGCATTTATAACACTTTTTGACATATTCAATGCAATCTCTTTCTATAGTTAGCCAAAAATAACCCTGTCTCTGAACTTGTTTTGCCATAGTATGGCCATTAGCATGAGTTCCGCATATTCCTTCATAAACCTCCTTCAAAATTTTTCGTGCATCCCCTGAGTCAACACACCGAAGCAATGTACCATCAAAAGTTCCTTTATATAGTACATCCCCACTAAGGAAGAAATTCATTGCCATACGTCGGATAGTCTTCTTGTCATTTTCCATTGCCTCCAAAGGGTATTCTCCGCTTTTTACATAATTTTTTATATCATGAAACCATAGATGTGCCTTCATTTCATTTTCAATATTCAAGCAATATGCAGGATTAATTTTAGCCTCAATCCTAATTGGTTGAACGTGAATTCCACAATCCAACTTAACCATGACAGCTAGTGTTGCTAAAGCATCTGCAAATTGATTCTTATCATGAGATAAGTGGTGGAATCTCACTTTGTCAAATTTATTAATCATCTGGGTGAGATATTTTTGATATGGGATTAACTTGGAATCCTTAGTCTGCCACTCGTCAGTTGCTTGATAAATAACAAGAGCGGAATCTCTGAAAACATTAAGTTCCTTAATGCCTAATATCACGACAGCTTGTAAGCCATTTAAACATGCTTCATACTCAGCCATGTTGTTAGTGCAGTCAAAGCCTAATTTGATGGCTAATGGGAATTGTCTGCCCTCTGGGGATATCAACACTGCTCCTAATCCATTTCCATAAATGTTTGCTGCCCCATCAAAATACATCTTCCATTTTTCTTCCCCTCGTGCTTCCTCTTCTGCCACAAGAACATCCTCGCCTAGGAATTGAAAATTTATAGGTTGGTATTCTTCCATAGGATTTGCTGCCAAATAATCTGCAATGATACTTCCTTTAATTGACTTATGAGTCATGTATTTCACATCATATTCCGAGAGTATTACCTGCCACCTAGAAACTTGACCTGATACATGAGGACTCTCAAAAATATATTTTATGGGATCTATTCGTGAAATCAACCATGTGGTATAATACAACGTGTATTGCCTTAGTCGTCGAGTAACCCATACTAAACCACAACATGTCTTTTCAATTAGTGAATAGCGTGATTCACAATCAGTGAATTTTTTGCTCAAATAATAAACCGCCTTTTCCTTTTTGCCGACTTCATCAAGTTATCCCAGCATTGCACCTATAGATGTAGGTCTTATGGTTAAGTAAAGAATCAAAGGCCGACCAGGTGTCAGAGGTACTAATAGTGGAGGGTTCAATAAATAATCCTTAATCTTGTCAAAAGCTTGCTGACAATATTCATCCCACGTGTCAGTATGACTTTTTCGTAATAATTTAAAAAGTGGCTCATAAGTAGCAGTTAGATTGGCTATGAATCTGGATATATAATTCAGGTACCCTAAAAAACTGCGAACCTCTTTCTCTGTTTGTGGCGGCCTCATGTCGTGAATTGCTTTGACCTTGTCAGAATCTACCTCTATGCCCTTCTTACTGACAATAAAACCTAACAATTTTCTCGATGAGGCTCCAAATACGCATTTATTAGGGTTTAACCTGAGCTTGTATTTACGCAAGCATTTAAACAATTTTCGAAGAACTACTACATGGCTTTCATCTTCAGCAGACTTAGCTACCATGTCATCCACATACACCTCAATCTCCTTATGCATCATGTCATGAAACAGTACTACCATGGCTCGCTGATAAGTTGTACCCACATTCTTTAATCCAAAGGGCATCACCTTATAGCAAAAGGTACCCCAAGGTGTAATGAAAGTAGTTTTATGTTTGTCCTCCACGTGCATAGGAATCTAGTTGTATCCTGAATAACCATCCATAAAGGAATATCTGTAACTGCGTGCTATATTATCCACAAGCATATCAATATGCGATAAAGGAAAGTTATCCTTAGGGCTAGCACGATTCAAGTCCCTATAATCTACACACATTCTAACTCGTCCATCTTTTTTTGGTACTGGAATAATGTTTGCAACCCATTATGGATATTTGACTACTTTTAAGAATCTGACTTCCCATTGTTTCTTTTCTTCTTCTCTAATTTTAAGTGACATATCAGGGCTCATTCGTCGTAATTTTTGCTTCTTAAGTTTACTATCAGGATGTAAAGGTAACCTATGAGCAGCAATCTCTGAATCAATCCCTGGCATATCCAAGTATGACCATGCAAACATATCAAGGTACTCTCGAAACAAACTAATCATCTCTTCTTTCTCTGGATTATCAACAATTTTTAACTCTTTTTTATCTTCCTCCATCCTTAAATTTACAATTTCAATCGATTCCTCATGTGGCATGATGCCTCGTTCAGAAGATTCTATCATTTTTACAAAGATTAGGGGCGTTTCTTCATCTTTATCAGTTTCATAATCATATGTATCCATAGTGAAACATAGTTCATTCAAACTATGCTCAGGAACCAATGAATTAGACAGGAGTTCCGAGAATTCTAATTCCCTGGAAAATTATTGTGCAAGGTGAATGAGTATTTATACGTATGAGGTGCAAATAAGAATATGAGAAAAATACTATGGATGGAGAGAGAAAGGGTGGATAATGAATGAAATGATGGGGAGAGTGAAGAGAGAAAACAAAGAAACAAAATATTGCATTCATTCTTTAAATAAAGTTTAAGAGTACACAAATTAACCTAAAAAGTGAAACAACACATGGAAATATTACTTTAACAACATGACATCAACAATCTCCTTAAATTCCTAGTTGCCCAACTCTTTTACTGGCGTGTCTGGCTGTATCCATACCTCCTTTGAGCTTCCTTTGTAATCTTCACTCATCATAGCTATAAAACCATTTGGATTGATTATCTCTATAGGTGATGGAAACGTTTCACAAATATGTGGGATTTCTTGCTTATCTTGCTTCTTTCCTTTCTTCAACTTCATTTGCCTTGTCATTGATGCTTCTAAAGAAGGCTCATATCCTAGACCTTGACGTTTTGGGTTTTCTAGTAGTACTATTGGTTCTTTTATCCCTTGCAACTTGGTTCCCAATCCTTTTCCTGATTTAAATCCATAGTTCTTCATGATCTTAGCCACGACTTGATTCACCTCCTTACTTGATTGGCCAATCTCAACAAACTCAAAGTTTTGATATGTGCTTTCAAATGATTGCTCAATATTCTCAATATAAGGCACCACACTTGGCTTACTAATTATCAGTTCTTCTTCTCCTCTTATGGTAATAAGTCTTCCATCATTAATGTATTTGAGTCTTTAGTGTAGAGTCGAGGGTACAGCCTCAGCATCATGAATCCAAGGTCTACCAAGTAACATGGTATATGTAGCATCAATGTACATAACTTGAAATTCTACCACGAAAGTACTTGGTCCAATTTGCAATGGGAGGCAGACATTGCCTATAACTTCTCGTCTTGTCCCATCAAATGCCTTAACTACCACGTCGCTATGTTTCATACAAGATGCATCAACAGGTAAAAGTTCTATAGTAGATCGAGGTAAGACATTTAAGGTAGAATCCCCATCAATCAATACTTTGGCTATTACATAACCATGGCACTTTAAAGTAATGTGGAGCACCTTTGGGCATTGAGAAGCTGTCAAGAAAATCTCATCTTCGAAGAATGCAATCAATGTAGAGTTTTTCACAGTATTAGCTAGATTAACCACTTTCTTAGGAGTTATGTTTGGCCACACATAAGCTTCATTTAGAACCTTTTGTAAAGCCTTTCGATGTACTTCAGAACTAAAAATGAGGGACAATATTGAAATTCGTGCTGGGGTCTTATTCAATTGTTCCACAATGTTATATTCACTTTGTTTCATAATCTTTAAAAATTCATCGATCCCTCCTTTTTTGCCTTTCACGGTAAATTCTTTAGTGCCTGAGCTTTCTCCAACTTCTAAACCCTTACCCCCTAGCGTGTAGGTTTCATCGGTGTAAATTCGACCACTTCGTGTAATTCCACCAACAGTAATGTCAACATTACTAGCTTTGTTTAGTGTCCCTTGATCGTGAAGGCCTTCAATTCTTAAGCCATAATTCCAGGGTACAGCATGATTGCTATGATATGGGAATGATGCTGGTATGTGGAGGAGAGCAATAGGTTTCTTGTTACTGACATTATGAGATGTTTTGCCAATAAGCAAAAAGGATTTTTCCGCTGATTCCTTCACTTCATAAATTAGCTTATTTGTTGGAAAGGATGAATTTTCTCCTTCTATAGCTTGTGACTCCTTATTGATTACAAAATATGTAACCTTCTCATCTAATGCACATACATTTCTCGTATTTTTTCTGTCAATGACCACAATCCCTAATATCATCATTTTTTGAGCTAACTCTTTGAAAGGAATACATTTTTCAATGTCATGACCTATAACCTCTTAGTGATATTCACAAAAATCAAACATAGCTCGAGAAGTTCTTTCATTGCTCCCAAAGCTTTGCTGGATGTAGCCCAATTCTCTTAAGTGCTCATACAGCTGCTTCATGGTGCAAGGAATGTCCTCTACTGCTTTTGAGAGGCTAATGTCATTATCTATCATGGCAACTGGCTTTCCTTTCTCATGCTCAGGTGGATTGGTAGTGATATTAGGATTGTTACATGTCTTAATCCCAATATGATTGTTATCTAATAAAAGAAGCACATGTCTTCTGAAAGCATTACATTTGTCAATAGAATGGCCAGCCACCCCCATGTGGTATTCACATGTTGCGTTCGGATCATACCAAGCTGGGAAAGGTGGTTGGAGAGGTTTAATAGGTTGAGGCCCCATAAGATTCTTTGCAACCAAATCTTTATACAACTCTGTCCGTGTAACATTAAAGTTTGGTAATGGGCGCTCATCCCGAGGTGGCCTTACTGGTCTTGCTCTAATATGGTGTTGATTATCCATTTGATGATTAAATTGAGCATTTAGAGAAGTATGATAAAATTCTGCCCTTGGTCGTGTTGAATCAAACCGTGCAAAGTTGTTTGGTTGGGAGTACGAAGGGTTACGGGCGCGATTGAAGGGTTGTTGGTAGGGTCCTTGTACATAATTGATGTCTCCCTCCTTTTTCTTCCCCACTTGTGCTTCCTTGGCTTCTGAGGGTGTATTTTCTAATCTTCCTCTCCGTATGCTCGTATCAATTCGTTCACCTACTTCAATAAGATCAGAAAAATCTCGAGCCTGCGTTCCTAACATAATCTTATAATAAGGATCAACTAGAGCATTAATAAAATAAGTTCATAACTCCGACTCAATTAGAGGAGGTTGAACTTCGGAGGCAACTGATCTCCAACTTTGGGCATATTCCTTAAAAGTCTCATTAGCCTTCTTCTTCATCCCTTCTAACTGTTCCCTTGTTAGGGCTATACTTAGGTTAAACCTGTATTGTTTCATGAATGCCCCAACCAAATCACCCCATTTCTTATATTTAGAGCGATCAGATTTCATAAACCACCTTAATGCACTCCCTGTGAGACTTTCTTGGAAGAAATTGATGAGGAACTTTTCTTTCCTTGACCAAACTAACATCTTTGTACAGTAAGTAACCAAATGATATTCAGGATCACTACTACCATCATACTTAGTGAAGTCTGGTACTTTAATTTTTTTTAGAACAGGCACTTCCGGTAGTAAGCAGAGTTCATCAATCTTAAGGGATCCCCAGGAGACTGGACCTTGTAAAGCCCGAAGTTGATCCTTCATTTTTGATATCTCTTCCTTCCAGCTGTCTTTGGAATTATCTTCCATGCCTTTTAGTGATACATTATTAAAACCTTCAGTTGGATCTATAACCGAAATGTTATATGTATATACTTCTCCCTTATTCCACTCTTGGGTAGGTTGTTCAGGGGATTTCGCTATAGGATCAATCCTTCCACCGACTGCCGTACTATTAACAACCCCCCTTGTGGCTGTAAAGACTCATTTCCTTGGTTTCCACTAGGGGGTTGGGGGTTACTAGTGTTAGCTATCCCACTTGCATTCATATTTTGCAACAACTTCATCATTTCACCCATTTGAGCTTGTATAAGGGTCACTTGATTTTTCAAAGATGATACTTCTTCTTCCATTCCTTCCTCATGCTCAAGGTCACGAACCTCTATTGCTATAGCCTTAACTCGGGCACGAGTCAAATAAACTCGGGTAGGGTGATGAGTTTGGTTAAACAAATTCTTTACTGGAGCAATGTTACTTCCTGATTAAAAATAAATAAATAAATAAATTATAGATCTTTTTTTTAAAAAAAATGGAAATTAGTGGATTGTCACTTAGAGTTGGCATACAAAATACTAGGTCACTTGAATGCGAATCACCACTTGTTTGAAGAATTATCATAGTTTTCTTATTCCCTTAAGATACGTATTGTATTCATAAGAATATAAGGTTGGCAATCAATTCATAAGAACTCTAATTTCTTTATAAATGATGTCCATTACAAAAGAGAATCTCTTGGTGCAAAATACAAGCAGCCCAAACATTTTACATATAATTCCCTCACGTCACCATGATTGCGCTAATGCCCTTATTTCCCCCATGACATCATCACATAGTATAATGAAATCTGACATTTCTGCTGAAGTATTAAAGGGATGGCTCATGTGCTCTGCTTGTGTGTAAACCTCCCAGAATCTTGGAATGGTTATATTTGCCAATTGAATCCAACTTTCAGCTCGATCCCTCCATTTTTCTACCTCTTCTGCTTTTCTGGAATAAAGTGTCCTCCAATCATCTAACACATCAGTTTGTTGGTGTATTTGTTCTATTAAATTTTGAATTATGCTAGATGTATCTCTTCTAACTGCTGCTAATTCATTTGCCTTTACCTTTAACTGCTTAGTAACCATTTCCACCTTTTGTGATAAACTCTTTAAAGGACGAAGGGCTTGTACTTCATTATTGAGAGCGTCCCTTTCTTTAGTGACCTTTATCAACTTGATCCGGTTATCCTTCACCTCCTGATCATGCTCTTTAAGTTGTATATGCATGTCACACATTGTGCGTTTGAGCTTCAAATTCTCCTTTTTCAATTGATCTATCTTTGTACTCTCTTGCCATATATCTTGTCTCTTCATCCTTTGTATTTACTCTTGTAAGGAAGTATACTCATGTTATAGGTAGGTTAAAGCTTCTTTGTTCTCTTGATCTGCTTTGGTCAATCTTTCTATCTCCTCACCCCTTCTTTCGAATTGTCTCGTTAACTCCTTCTGTGCTTCTGTTGTGTCACTGCTAAGCAAAGGATCAAGGTGAGCAAACGCTGGATTAGCTCCCTGAATTCTTTTTGATAACCAAGTTAGATAATCTTCATCTGCCCTTATCAGACGTACCCCTAACTCCGTCTTTCCTCTATATAGAACTTTACCCCATGCATTTGCCACCTTTTGGCTTAGATTCTTAGTTGTGGCATCATCATGAAGGAATTAAATTCTCTGAACTTCTTCTCCCGAAGGAATTTTTTATTGGAAACCTAGTTGTCTCAATAATAATGCAGGATTGTAGTTTATTCCTCCCCGCGGCCCCATGAGTGGAACATTTAAGAAATCCCCGCATTGATAAATTATTTTCTCATTGCTCTACTATATCAATTTCCAATAAACTCTTCCTTCTTGAAGTTGATTAAAAACTTCACTCCACCCTTTTCAGTCTAATATGGTCCTGCCTTCTTTATTCTTGAATGCAGTAAGTGGATTATAGGAATCATGCCATTTCCCTTCTTGGAATTCTTTTCCGTACAAGTGATTCATGATCCACACATTTAATAAGTGAAGGCAACACCTCAATCTTCCCTTTTTCTTGGCATGGCAATGGCTTAAAGTCATGTAGGTTTCTGCCAGAATTGCTGTTACGGGGTTAATTCGGTGATATTCTACCATGTAAAATACACTGATTGCATGTAAATCAATTATCCCTATAACAAATGGGAATAGAATTACTCTATAAATTACCATAGCAAAAACCCTATTGAAAACAATCCATCTTTTCTGCTCAGCCAATTTGACCAAGTATTTCTCCATAAATGCCCTTGAAATCCCCTCCTCCTTTCCTGGACAAAGCGATTTGACCTCCTCAATATTTAGGTCAAGAAGCTTGGCAATTTGATTTTTTGATGGTAGATATCCTGGGTATTTATACACTTGATCTCCTTCCTCAAGAGGCATCCCTAAGAAAGCTCCATATTCCTCTATTGTAGGAGCGAGTTGAAAGTCTGGGAATATAAAACATCTCAATGTATCATCCCAATACTGCCCCAAAACAATCATGGCATCAGTTTGAACTGGTACGTAAAGCAAGTCCAAAAGATCCCCATATTTCTTCCTAAACTCAGATAGTGAATTTCTTTTGATGTGTCGAGAGAGTTCTCTCAAGTTGTCTAACGTTTCCATCATTGCCTCCAATTTTATTCCCTTGCCTCTATACACTACTCCTGTTGGAATTGCATCCATGACATTCATTGTGCTTTTCTCTTGTATGCTAACCTTTCTTAACAATCCACTTTATTTCCTATTAAAATAAGAAATGAAAAGAAAATGAAAAGGTACTATGTCACAAATATAATTTAATCATAGCTTCTATCCCTCCAAATTCTTATTGAATTTCAGGGGAATAAAAACTAGAGTTTATTTTACAGGAGATGGAGTATTTTCACAATTATAGTTAATGTTTTTTTTTCCTTTTTTTACAAGCCTAATTAATTAATACTAACTTATTAACAATCTTACTCACTCCTCTGATTCCTTACTGCTCCTTAAGAAAAAATGCCCACCAATTAAATGACATATATATATATATATATTACTGATGGCTTTTATAGAATATTTATAATCTAAATAGTATCTTTTAATATTGATAAATTCGCTATCTATTCTTTGTTTAAGGAAATGACGTGGAAAAAAGTTTTTTTTTTTACATCAAATATTATCCTTAGGCAAGATATCTCAGGAGCACTTCATCCACATACTATAGGGATACTAGCAAGCTTGACTTATTATGTGCAAAGTTCTTGGTTTGATCTAACAATCCTAGCATGGGCAACCAAGCTGCTTCCACCATGAAGATAGAAACCCCATTTAATAAATTTATTCCTCCGAGAGCCTTTCAACCCTTCAGGGAGTAAACTTAATAAATAAGTAACAACTCAGGCGAAGTTTTCATAGTAATCTCCAAGAATATGAACATTCCTCAGGAAAACCGTTACCAACTTCTGCTAACCTAAGGCTCCCTTAGACCCGGGTATAAGGCCCGTTATGTGTGTGAGGGTAAGTGTATGCAAATTTGATATTCCCCATCCCTTATCTACCAATCAAGTCAAACAAAGAGATAAATATATGTACAAATAAGAGTCTTCTATCCTAGAATTCATTCCGCCTGTTATCTATCCTAAGACATGTTATAAAACAAATTAAAAGACAGAGAAGAGAAATAATAAGGGAAAAAGCAAACAAAAATTAAAAAGGATAATAGTAAAAAAAGAAAAACCATATTATATTTTGAACACAACAAACTTATATAGGCTTGACTCTCTAAGTCCCCAGCGGAGTCGCCAACTATCGCATCTAGAAATGCGATGCGGATGGCGTGAGAGTGAAGGTTCCGGCCTTCGGAAGGAAGACTGGAGAAATAGGAGTTGCCACCAAGATTTTGAGGGAAATCTTGGGAAACCGTTTAAAGGTGGATAAGGATGGTCTGCGAAAATAGAAAATAGGTTCGGGAGTCGATTGAGTGTAGGGAAGGTGTTAGGCACCCCACAACACCCGTTCGTAAGAACGGTTACCTGAAGTTTGTAGTGATATATAAATATGATTTTAAAATTATTTTAATTATCCCTTTTATATTCATGTGTTTGATATAAAAATAATAAGAATTAAGTGTGAAATGTTTATTTATTTACGTGGAGGACTTGACTCAAAATCTGACTCTGAGGCCTACGTACCCTGCGGTGGGGATCGAAGTCCACGTAGTTCGGGCTTTAAGAGTTGTTGGCAAAAATATTTTTAAAGAGAAATTAATTAAAAATAATTCACCATTTCGTAAATAAAACAATTTCTGAAATTTTGATATATGTGTTTTAAATTGCAAAAAGTAATTTAATTTCAATTAATTTTCTCTATTTTTGAATTTTTGGAAAAGAAAAGGATTTAAAATTATTTTTTATTTTATGATTGGGAATTTAATTGCAGTTCCTGTAGAGCCTTATTGGC